TCTATCTATCTATCTATCTATCTATCTATCTATCTATCTATCTATCTATCTATCTATCCATCTAATCAAGCTAATATGCATCTAGTTATTTACATGTTATTTCCTTGGTTAAAACTCTAGCTCTTTGATCTCAGGGACCTGTTTTGTCTATTTTGTATCCCTAGTACTTACATGATCCTGACATGTTTAATAAATGCTTGTTGACTGACTATTGGCAGCTAATTAAGGCTTCCCCTTTAATGGAAAAATAGAAACGAACAAGACCAATGGAGGGGGATGCAAAGTATGGGATGGGGTCTCTTATGTGGAAAGGCCTCTTTTTAACCAAAGAAAAACAGCAAGTAGGGTGGTAGAAATAAACTCCTCTTTGAAGTAAGGCGGTGCCAAACATTGTTCTTACTATTTCTCAGTTGGGAAAACTGAGGCACAGAGTAGTTAAGTGATTTTTTTCAATAGCACAGGAAGATGTTAGGCCCACATCTAAGATTTAGATGTTCTTATTCCCTCAGCCCCCACCCTTTACCCCCAAACTTTCATAACTCTTTGATGATACAGGACATTAATGTGCCTCATTTTGCTTGTAATCCTCCATCTTCCCATTAAAAGTCCCCAAACTCTTTGTTCTGTGGCCAACATCCTTTCGGGAGGCTTTATTCCTTGGGCCTACCTCTGACTCACCGAATGCCCACGAAGATGTTGTTTCACTTCCAGAAATATTAGTTTCTTTAGCAGTAAAAACAGCATATCATTTACCTTGTAGGAATGATGTAAGGACTAATGAATACTTCTACTTGCTTTGAAATAATAGATGAAAGGCAGAATGAAAAGCTTTATCTTGATAATCTGCCTAACATCTGTTCTCATGTAGGGAAACAGATCCTTATTCCTAGAAGACTGGAAACCTCAGCTAATTAAATGAGCCCCAATAAGGTGTTTAGCAAAATTCCTCCTTTCCTCACCCTTACCCAGCATGTTGCCTCTATTGGTCATAGGGGATCAACTGGGATTTCCTAAACGTGAGTTTTCAAACAAGTTGCAACTGTCTGGTTTGGGCTCTATCAGGTTAAATGTGAATTTCCTTTATGTGCCCCCTCCCCTCCAATTTCTTCCATCTAGGAGCTTTAAGGGACCAGTAAAACCATCTGTTCCTTAGGTATTCCTACTATAAGATAATAGAATCATAGTTTTAGAATTAGAAAGGAAATGAATTTAATTCAGCACCTGCATTTTGCAAATAAGGAAACTGAGGCAAGAGATGTTAAGCATTATACCTAAGGTCACACAGATCATAAGTAGCAGAATGGGCATTTAAACTCAGATCCTAATTCAAGGTTCTCTAATTACAAGTCTAGTGGTTTTTCTACCTTGAATTGGCGATACATATTGGAGAACTCCTCCAAGGTAGGAAAAGTTCCTAACTTGGCTAAAAAGACTGAGTAGTCCCATTACATCACAACTCCTATTAACAAAAATTCCCATTTATCATCGTCCTTCTAAACTTCTTGGGATCACTGCACTTAAGGGGACAGTGGCATTAGAATATGGGTTAAACAATCCAATGCTGTAGCTCCTTAGTACCTACTGGTTGGGTACAGTATAGGATAGCTTCAGTATCCTCATCTGTAAAATGAGCTGGAGGAGGAAATAGCAAACCACTCCAGCATCTCTGCCAAGAAAATTCCAAATGAGGTCACAAAGAGTTCAACACGATGGAAAAACAACTGAACAACTACAAGAACAACTGGGTATGATAACCATATTTTTTGGGAAAAATAAATTGGGAAATGTGTTCTGACAAAGGGAATTTCTTTTGCAAGGCTTTATTAAAAGTGTGTTTTTTCTTGAAATCAGGTTTGTCCCAGCCAGCCTAGAATATGTGGTCACTTTATGTAGAGGGAACCTCTTAAAGTTCACTGACACCTTTTCCTCGTGCCTCAATCATTAATGACCTTCGCATTTGGACAGAATCAAAATTGGAAGGGACCTAAGTGTCTAACTAGTCCAACCATGCTTGAACAAAAAAAATCTCCATTACACAATACCTGGTGGCCATTTGGCCTTCACATGAAGACCTCCAGAGATGGAATCCAACTGTCCAGAGACAGTCCATCCAACTTTTGGACTTTATGTAGCATTTTGCTTTGAATCTCTCATGCATTTATGATGTAGCATTTGGTTTCATAGTTGTCTGTATTTCTGTCTTGTTCCCCTAATGGATTCCAGGTAATCTTCATGAGGACAGAGACTCCATCTTATCTAAACGTTGCACCTTCTCAGGTTCGCTGCACGTAGCATGTACATAATAAATTCTAATGGCTGAATGAATGACTTTGCTTGAGCCCTGGTCAAAGCCTTGGGTTGGGTCGTCTGGTTCAACAATTTGCACCTTTTGTTTTAGGAGAGAATGTTCAAAAGTCATGGCTCCCAGTGTGGCTTCTGCACCCCTGGCATCGTCATGAGCATGTATACTCTGCTCCGGAACAACCCTGAGCCCACAGTGGAGGAGATTGAGAATGCTTTCCAAGGTTTGTTGCCCATCCCCACTCTGCCCTCCTCAGCAGTCCAGGGAAGTACCATAGAGGATTACTTGGAACTGGGGATCCTGCAGGGGGAAGAACAGTCCAGGGGTTGAAGTTAAGACTTAGGTTGGTCTCTTAAAATGAGGAGGGCTGGAAGAAGTAGAAGAGGAGAGGCCACCATTTGGAAGAGGGAGAAGATTTAGACAGGACACAGAGCTTTCTTCAAGAATTTGAAAGTCCACCATGATTAAGGGGGGTTAGCCTTGCTCTTGACCTCAGAGGGCAGAACTGGGAACAGTGAGTGGAAGCTGCAAAGGAAGAAAATTTGGGCTTGAGGTAGTAGAGTTAGGGGGAACTTAGTAAGAATTAGTTACTCAAAAGTGGAATGGATAACCTCAGGAAGTGATAGGTTCCCCCTGACTTGGAGATCCTCAGACAGAGGCTGGAGGGTTCATTGTTGGACTTAATGACCTCTGTGGTCTCTTTTGACTCTGAATCCTATGATACTAGGAACATTTGTCAGAGTTGTCTTAGAAGGCATTCTTGTTTAGGTATGGGTTGGACTAGTTTGCCTCTGAGGTCCCTTCCATTTCCGAGATTCTGTGATTCCAGTAATAGAGAGAATTTCTTAAGTCCATAGGATCAGCATTAAGATTTGGCTGAATGTAAACCCTTTCCTGTTGGGAAGTTTTTTTATACTGTTGAGGATAGGTAGTTAGGAAGCATGGGGGATAGAATGCTGGACAGGTTGCCCAAGCTTAAAATCCTACTTCAGACACTTATTAGCTTTGTGACTCTGTGCAAGTCACTTAACCTCTGCTTGCCTCAGTTTCCTAAATCTATAAAATAGGAATAATAATGGCACCTATCTCCCAGGGTTGTTGTGAGGATAAAATGAGATTATATTTGAAAAGTGTTTTGCAAATCTTTTTTTCTTTTTTTAAAATAAATTTATTTATTTTTAGTTTTCAACATTTACTTCCACAAGATTTTGAGTTCCAAATTTTCACCCCATCTCGCCCCTCCCCCCACCCCAAGATGACATGCATTCTGAATATCCCTTCCCCTAGTCTGCTTTCCCTGCTATCTCTCCCCCCCTTTTCTTATCCCCTTCCCCTTATATTTTCCTGCAGAGCAGGATAGATTTCTGTACCCTATTTCCTGTATTTCTTATTTCCCAGTTGCATGTGCAAATCTTAAAGTGTTACATAAATGTTAGCTATTATTGTTATTATTACATCTTATCCTTATATTCACCCCAGTCAGACAATAAGCCCTTATTAAACACTTACTATGTGCCAGACGTTGTGCTAAGTTCTGGGGATACAGAAAAAGGTGAAAACGTGGTGCCTGACCTCAAGAGCTTACATTCTGATGGGCGTAGACAGTAGGGAAAAGAATTGTATGCAAGGTACATAGAGTGTAAGGGAAGGTCATGTCCCAGGGCAGGCTGTAGCAGTTGGGGCTCCTCTTTGGGTTGGCCCTGGTCTGTTACTGGTTCATCATAGTCGGTGAGGGGCTGCAGTGGGCCTCTTCATAGGATGGGAGTTGGAGGGAGGAGTGGGAGGTTAAGGGCCCGTAAAGAGCTGGTTTGAGAAACTCTAGAGCATCCACTCTGTGAATGTTCCAATATCTATTATTTTCCTCCATTATAAGTATGTATATTGTGTTAGTGGGGGGTGGGGGATTTGCTACTTCAGGGCGGTAATAAAGACACAGATCAATATTAAGTTGTGAGGAAAGAGACTTTTGTTTCTTAGCAAACAGAAGCAACAGGCATTTCAGTTTGTCTTCATAAATGGGGACAAGTACCCAAATCATAATAATAACAGCTAACATTTATGTAGTGCTTACTATGTGCCAGGCACTGTGCTGAGTACTTTACAGTTATTATCTAATTTGATTCTTATAACAACCTGGTAGTTGGTGCTATTATTATCCCCATTTTATAAATAAAGAAACAGGCAAATAAGCGTTTAAGTCACTTGCTCAGGGTCACTTAGCTACTAAGTGTCTGAGTCTGGATTTGAACTCTGGTCTTTCCATTTCTAGGCCTGGCGGTCTATCCACAATGACACCTATCTGCCCCAATACAGTGGTCATCCTGCTTGGGGGGGTTGGCCAGGGATTATCTGTCCCTGTGAACGTACCAAATGGTGGCTCCTAGGCTGCTAGGCACTACAGCAGATAGATGCATCCTGGCTCAGATTACTTATTAGTTTAACTCCTTTTAGCCTCAGTTTCTTCACCTGGAAAATGAGAGGTTGGACTTAATGCCTTCTAAGGTCTCTTTTAGCTCTAAATCTGTGATCCTACGACACTCCAGATATGCCAACCTAACCCTCCAATCCACTCTCTTTATAATTCCTTGCTTTGCTGGGCATCACTACTGACAGGCATCTCTGCTTTTTTGTCTTGACCCCACAGGGAACCTGTGTCGTTGTACAGGCTACAGACCCATCCTTCAGGGCTTTAGGACGTTTGCCAGGGTAAGTGCCATTGATTAGCTGCTACCCTAGCTCTTGGCATGGGGAGAGGAGGGCTGACATAAATTCAAAGTAGCAACAGGATTGGCTCATTCAAGTAAGTGGCTGTCCCCCAGGCCTACCTGGAATGATCTTTATTTCACTTCTGCTTCTTGGAAAGCCTTAGTTTCTTTCTAGATTCAGCTCAAGGGCAACCTTTGATAAGAATCCTGATTCTCTCTGTTGGGGGGTCTTCTTCTTCCTTCCAAATTCCTTTTTACTTATTTTTTATATACACACATATTTTATTTACTTACCTATTTTCATATTGTCCCTTCCCCCTTTACTCTCCCAAGTAGGAAGGAAGCTCTGTGAGGGCAGGGACTTGTTTAATTTGTGTTTTTCTATCCCTGGTGCTTACCTTAGTATCTGGTACTTGGTAGGTGCTTGAAAATGCTTGAGGAATTGAATCAAATTGAATTGTTGACCATGAGAAAGTTGTTTAACTTCTGTAAGTCTCAGTTTTCTCATCTGTAAAACCAAGATTAATAATACTCATGCTCTTTATGTCCTAGAGTTGTTGTGAGGAAAGTTCTTAGTAAAACTTACATCCCAGTAGAAAAGAGGTATTGTTGATTATGACAAACACCTACATCAACTGAATCCAGTGCCATAACTAAGAATTCTGGTGCCTAGGGCTAGGCCAGTTGAGTGAGGTGGAATGGGTAGGTAGGGAGAGGAGGATTTGTAAGTACTGCTTTAGATGGCTCAGATAGACTAGAGATGAAGACAGTGATGTGCTGGAGCCAAGTTGTACTGACTCATAAAAGCATATTGTTAAATTTTCAGGGTGAGCATTTATACCTCAGAAATCTGCGAACACTCCACATCAGGGCTTGATTGATTATTTTATTGATTGTCTAGACTTAAGTAATGGTGAAAATGTTAATGCAGATTAAACTTAAAAGTGAACCTACTTTTCAGAGAACTGCTTGTTAAACATTTATCAGCAGTCATCATGGGAATGAGGTTGAGAAACAGGAAGGTCAGGAGGTGATGGAAAAGACTGTAAGCCAGGTAGTGAATTTACTGGAGAGGAGGGGGAGTGAGTGAGTGATCTAGAGGTCCACAAAGGAAAGGAACAAGGAGATGGACAGGATGGCATGAACTCTATCTATCTATCCATCTATCTCTCTATCTACCTAATTTTGCATGGGCCTTGATGGCCATTGTTTTTACTTTTTTAAATAACATTTTATTTTCCCCCAATTACATGTTAAAACAATTTTTAATATTTTTAAAAAGTTTTGAGTTCCAAATTCTACCCCTCCCTCTCCTCCACCTTCCCTGAGACTGTAAGCAATCTGATGGAGATTATACATGTGCAATTGTGCAAACCATTTCCACGATATTAATTTTGTATAAGAAGACTAGGAAAGAAAGGAAGGAAGGAAGGAAGGAAGGAAGGAAGGAAGGAAGGAAGGAGGGAAGGAAGGAAGGAAGGAAAGAAAAAAGGAAGAAAGGAAGGAAGAAAGAAAGAGAAAGAAAGAAGGAAAGAAAAAAATAGTATGCTTCAGTCTACATTCAGACAATATCAGTTCTTGGACATGAACTTTAAGGAAGAAATGGTTACTGAATAATGGTGGCAGAGAGTTTGAAAGGGCTGTGAGGAGCAAGGAGTATGCCAGCTCCTCTTTTCCTCCTCCTGGACCAGTATTTTAGGGGGTACAAGAGAAAGAGCACCAAGCCTTGGTGAGAGCACTAAGAAATGTGGTTTCTTCAGGAAGAAGCTAGTCTTTGGGGGGATGGAAGGAATGTGCAACAAGGAGGTGATCTAGGTTGGGAGGGAGTTTGTTAACTATAGAGGAAGTTTACCAAGGGATCATTGAAAAAGTGTTGTAGATCTAAAGTTAAAAAGGGACCTCCGAGATTATCTAGTTCAACCTCATTTTACAGATGAGGAAACTGAGGCACAGAGAGGTTAAGTAACTTGTCTACAGGTGGTGAGTTACAGAGACAGGTACTGAACTATTGACATCCAGATGAGGAGCTTTTGCCATCATACCACAATGACAGACAGAGAAGGATAAGGTCCAGGGAGAGTTAGGGCTGTTTACTATGTGGGGTGATCTTTGCCTTTGTGGCTGATCCTCCCTGCTCCTCTCATCCACATTTCTCATTCATTGAACTTAGAAATCCTCTAGGACCATAAGTCCACAGGTCAGATACCATATAAGGACTAATCGACCCCTGACAAAACAGCCTATGCAAAGAATTAGGGAGTGTGGCCATGGGGAGCATGGAATACATACTCTTGGGTTAGGATAAGCAATTGCCTCCAAACTTACTCAAGTTAGTTCCCACTTTAGATAATATGAGGGGAAACAGATTTTGTAACTCTCATCAAGTGTTTTCTTATTTTTATAAATAAATAACTTATTTATTGCTTTTACATGCATTTATAATCTGTCCCTCCCAGTGCTCCACCCCCTTCCTTGAACAACATAATGAGCAAAAAAAAATGAAAAATAAAACCCTCATAAATATGTATAGTCTAGTAAAACAAATTCGCAGATGGCCAGGCCTCCATAATCTATATGTCATTCTCCTTTTTAAGTCCATCACCTCTCTGGTAGGAGATGAGTAGAGTGGTCCTTGGTCTTCTGTAATATTGGTTTATGATTACATTGATCTATCTTTCCGAGTTGTTTTTCTCTATAATGTGACATATAAATTATTCTCCCAGTTTGGCTCCCTTGTGAAGCATTTTCCAATTCTACCTGAGTTTTTAGTGAGTCCAGGATCTTAGAATTAAAGGTGGAAAGAGCCTTAGAGACCATCTAATCCACCCTCTTCTGCCTGCAGATGAGGAAATTAAGACTTTCAGTGTTGGCATAACTTCTCCAAATCACACAGGTGATAAGGAACAGAGGTGAGAGTCAAACCAGGCTCTGGGGACTCCAGAAGCCCAGGGCTGTTTACAGCGTATCACACTGGACTGCTCTGTTGTCAGCCCAATTCAGGGAAGTGTTCCTGTTGGAGAGCAGTGGGATTTTTCCACTCCTATGGGCCGGTTACAGCATGTCCTGAGCTGGTTCCTGGAAGAGGCAGAATGTCTAAGAAGTTGACTCTTTAAAGAAATGCAGGATCTAGCTCTCCTTAGAACTCAGCAAGACCAGTCAGGCTTACAGGTGCTGCAGAGGACACTGATTGCCATTTCAACTGAACTCAGTATGTGTGTGTGATTGGCCCAGTGTGGGATTTATAGGACTAGTTATTAAGACGCTCCATACCCCACCCCCTCTGTAAAATAGGGATGAGACTACCCCTCCCCCATACCTAGGGAATGACCGTTGTGCCACTCAAAGGAGACAATGTATATAAAGAGCTTTGCAAATGAAGCATTATATAAATGCTTTATTTATAATCAGGTTGGTGCAGAGGATAGAGTGCTGCACTCAGAGTAAGGAAGACCTTCATTCAAATCTTGCCTCAGACATTTACTAGCTGTATGACCCTGTGAAAGTCATTTAACTTCAGTTTTCTCAACTGTAAAATGGGGATAATAATAGCACCTATGCAGTGAATGGAGGTCCAGGTCTATAGTCATCAAGGCTTGAATTCAAATGTGGCCTCAGATACTTACTAGCTTTGTGACCCTGTGCAAGTCACTTTAGTCTCTGTCTGCCTCTGTTTCCACAACTGTAAAATGTGGATAATAATAGCACCTACCTCCTAGGATTGTTGTAAAGATCAAATGAGGTAATAATTGTAAAACACTTAGCACTGTGCCTGGCACATAGTGGGTGCTACATATATGATAGCTATTATTATTGTTGTTAAACTCAAATATCAATCAACTTAATTAACTGATAAATTCCTGCTATGGGCTAGCAAAGACAGAAATGAAACAGTGCCTGCTCTCAAGGAGGTTACTTTCTTTTGGGGGAGACAACATAAGTACATACATAAGTATATACATAACATAACATGTATATACATAAGTATATACATAACATATATATTTTTTGTTGGGGGAGGGGCTGTACTAGCAGCCAAGGGGATCAGGAGAGTCTCCATGTAAAAGGTGCATTCGAACTGAGCTTTGAAGGGAATGAAGGATTCTAAGATGTGCTGGTGAGAAGAAAATGCATTCTAGGCATGAGATAGGAGATGAGATGTCATGTTTGAGGAACAGAAAAGTCAGGCTGGCTGTACCATAGCACAGATGAAGAGGAGAGGTGCATAATGGGTCTAGAAAGGTAGGTTGGAACCAGGTCGTGAAGGGTTTTAAATTCCAAAAAGAAGAGTTTTTATTTGATGTTAGAAGTAATAGAGAATCATGGGGAGTTTCTTGAGTAAGGGAGTAGCACGGTCCAATCTTTGCTTCAGAAAAATCACTATGGCAGCCATGTGGAGAAGAGGTGTAGTGGAGAGAGGCTCAAGTCAAGGAGATCAATCCGGATGCTCTTTCAGTTTTCAAGGCAAGAGGTGAACTTTGTATCCCCTCCACACAGCAATGTAATGTGCCTGTTACAAATGGCTTGTTGATTCATTAGTGTCTTGTGATTAAAGCAGACCAAGCAATAGAAAATCTAATACAGACACCGGCTCTTGTTTGAGGAGGCAGATGGCATGAGAGGTCTGCTTTAAACTCATTTACTCCAGGAAGAGGAAACAGGGCCTGCAGTTTTCTGGAAAGGGAATCTATTTTCTTTAGCCCTGAAGTTTCTGAGTAAATGAAGTGTTCCTTGTTCTCTTAGGATGGGGGATGCTGTGGAGGAAAGGGAGATAATCCAAACTGCTGCATGAATCAGAAGGAAAGGAGCACGGTAAGCCCTGCCTTTGACCCTCCCCCTCAGCCCCACCCCATCCTGGTCAGATCCTGTGCAACTGAAAACTGCCAAGGGGCTGCCAGCCACGAAGGGAGAGAGAGGGCACGGCAGAGTTTGTAGGCATCCGCTCAGGGCTTCTCGTGGGCCACTGCCCCATGTATCAAAGTGGACTGCGAAGTCATTTCTCATCTCTGCTCCTCTGCTCCTCCTTCAGCAGGTGAGGGAAGAGAATCCTGCAAGAGCCTTCTTATTATTAGATATTTTAAAAGGAAGCAGAAAATGCAAGTCCCATTTCTTCTCTTCTTACCCTTCCTTCTTCCTTTTCTTTCTTCCATATATTCCTCTCTTCCTCCTTTTCCTTCCTTCTCTTCATTTTTCTCCTCCTTCCCCATCCTTCTCCTCCTTCCTCTACTTCCTCTTCTTCCCTCTTCCTCCCCCTTGTCCTTCTTATTCATCATCTTCTTCTTCTTTCTCCTCTTCCTTCTTCCTCCTCCTCCTCCTCCTCCTTCTTCTTCTTCCTCTTCTTCTTTTTCTCCTCCTCCTCTCATCTCATCCTCCTCTACTTTTTTTTTTTTTTTGCAGTTAATTCTCTCACCATCTTTGTTCAATCCAGAGGAATTCCTGCCATTAGATCCCACCCAGGAGCCTATCTTCCCACCAGAATTAATGGTAGGTGATGTCCCAAAGGGGAATGAACCTTTGTAACTTGAATATATGAGACACATGGCTTTGACTTCATATACCCTGGATGTTTGGGTGAGGTGACTCTATGACCATATAACCCATATCATTGTTTCTTCCAAATGCACAGAGTCACCTTGGAAGAGAAGCTCTCTTATTAAAAAAAAAAAAGTTACCTGACTATTCAGCCCAGCTTTATGATATCTCATAAATCTGTTCTCTCACTTTTATCACCAAAGCAGCTTCAGTCTGACAATTGTAATAGCAGGTACTGATTAAGGTCAGAACTAGGTCATTGTCAGAAAAAGGAACCAAATACAGATTTTTCTACTGTCTGTACCAGAACCAGCTATGGGGTAATTGACAGAGACCCAGGAGTCCTGGGTTTGAATGCCATTCCTGGTATTAAGTGTGCAATAACTATACCTATTACACTGAACTCAGGGCTGTTCTGTGGTAATGTATGCAAAACACTTCATAACTTTTAGCTCTGAGTGGTTAAGAAACTGCAGGATGTAGCACATCTGAAGTCAGGAAGCTCTGGGTCTGAATCCTGGATTGGTTGCTTCATTTTTTCTTGAAGTTGGCTTCTTTTAAAACTGAATTCACCTAGTCCAACAAAAGTACTTTGACTTTCAAAATTTGATTCACTCCCAACTTTTCAGGAATATAATTTTAGTATAAATAAAAGTTTGCCTACATGTGATTTGAGGGTCACCTTTTAGTCTTCAATTTCTTGTCTCTTCACATAAAATGTAGTGTACTTCCCTCTATCCATAACATCACTGAAGTCTATTTTGCTACCCAAAATCAAATCAAAATCATTTGTCCATGGATTGTTTATCTCACTTGAATTCATAGAATCACAGAATGCCAGAACTGTAAGGGAGCTTAGAACATAGAGCATAAAATACCAGAGCTAGAAGAGACCTTAGAACACAGATGGATGGATGAATGGATGGATAAGATAGACAGACAGACATAGATGATAAAGCAGGTAGATAGATGGAGATAGGCAGACAGGCAGACGTGGATGATAGAGACAGAGGCAGATAGAGAGATAGGGAGATACACACAAATACTCATATATATATCACTTTGTAAATCATAAAGTGTTACGTCAGTGGTTATATATAAGATATATATTAATATAGTAAGTATTTACTATGTGTCAGGCACCATTCTAGACACTGGGGACACAACATAAGTATAGTACAGGAAAAATGGAGGTGGGAAAGTTCACTAACAGCTGGGAAAAGGAAGAATAGAAGACTTTATAGAAGAAGTGGTTCTTAAAAGCCAGAGACTGGAGATTTCACTTTTTTGCATCCTACCCTAGCATCTGTCTGGGCATAGAGTAGGTATTGAAGCATCTTTAATGAACAGGAGTAAATGTAGAATGCCAGAGCTAAAGTGGGCTTTAAAACATAGAACAAAATGATATTAAAGTTGGGAAGGACCTTAAAATCATTGACCTATAGAATGTCAGAGCTGAAAGGGACCTCAGAGGTACCATCATAGCTAGAAGGGATCTTAGAACATAGACACACTCATGGAAAGTGATATCTAAGAGGGGCATAAGAAAGTAGAACTATAGATTTCAGATCTGGAAGGAAGCTAATAAATGTAGAACCACAGAATGCCAGAGCTAGAAGGGACTTAAGAATATAGAAACACAATATCATAGCTGTAAGACTCCAGCTTAGAACACAGACCTGTGGAATGACCTGGAGGCTGGAAGGGGCCTTAGAACATTGAACCATAGTTTCATAAATGGAAGGGAAGTAGCATAGTATTGTGGGTAGACAGCTTGCCTCAAGTCCAGAAAGAGCTGAAACATAGTGACTGTGTGACCCTGGGTAAGTTATTTAACTCCTGGTGCTCTGGGTAGACTACTCTCTAAAACAGCTGCACAAAAGGTGCATTGGCACCTGTGTTGGTAGAGAAGGCTTTCTCACACAGGGGTTCCCTACACCAGGGAAATTATGGGTCTAGTCCCTATTCCTAAGAGAGCATAGAACAATCAGCTAGCTCCCCAGTGCATTCAAGAATGACTTTTGTCAGGAAAACAGGAAGAGGGAAGAGGTGATGGGGCAGTATAATTTCCTCAATCCAGGAAGAAACAATTGAAACCTGTGTTCTTAGAGGTTGAAAGATGAGCCCCATAAGCAGCTGTGTTTCCAAGGGGAGCGTGTGAAATGGATCCAGACTGCGACCCTGAAGGAACTGTTGGAGCTGAAGGCCCAGCACCCAGACGCCAAGCTGGTGGTGGGGAACACTGAGATAGGTAAAAGGGGATGTCATGGAAGGGTGGCCACAGGGTCCGGAGCACGTTGTACTGCTTTGGGCAAAGTCCAAAGCTGTTGTTCATTCCCTTTGGTCCTTCCACAAGGCTTCACCTGTTGGATACCTCAGAGGAACCTCCGGCAACCTGCAATCTACCAGGCTATTTCCTGACTGTGTCAAGAGAACCACTGATTGAGAGGGGCGGGTGGTGTCTAGTGTCCCACACCTGGGGAGGTGCTAGGATAGGAGAGAAAGGGGGTGCCCAAGTGAGACTCTAGTTTGCCTCCCTGGGTGCTGCTGCCCAGAACTTTGCAACCCTAGCAACAGTGGGAAGCTGTACTTAGATGTGGGGTCAGAGGACCTGGGTTCAACACCTCCTCCCACACTTAGAGCCTATGTGAGTGAGACAGTGCCTGTAAAGTACCAGTGACCTCATCTGTAAAATGAAAGACTTTGACCAGATGAACTCTAAGGACCCTTCTCAATCATATCCCATGATCCCTCAGGTCCCTGGGATCTCAGGTTCTTCACATGGCTTTGACGGTGTCTGTTCAAATGCTCACAAAAGGCATGAAGATAGGTCATGCATGGCTAATACTCTCACAGACTTTTTCAGTTTTTAAAAATCTAGAATCTGGTTTGGAGAAATAAGTGACAACTGGCTTCAGGCAGTGACAGTCCGGGGAGGGAAATTACACCTGATGTTCCCTTTCACCAAGAAAACATTTCACCTGTTGATGAAATGGCACTTGGAGAGCAACTAGAGAGATTTGCTACCCTGGCAAAAACTGTATTTCAGGTCTAGGAGAGCTAGTCATGGTTGGTCAGTGGTTATTGAAACCTTTTCCTGACGTATGGATCCTGGAGAGGATTCCTGTTTGTGACCACCTCTTTCAACGCTACCCAGCCTTCCAATGGAAATTGCTTTAAATTTAGTGAATTCAAGCTTGCCAAGAGGAGTAATGTCCTACCTTCCCAAATGGAGGAACAACAACATTTTTATAATTGTGTCCCTAGCCCTTTGTTCAGGGCTTGGCCATAGTAGGTGCTATTGAATTGTAGTGAATTATTATTGAGAGGCAGCATTTTGTGGTGAGCAGAAAGTTGGCCTCAGCACGAGAGCCTGGCATCAAGTCTTACCTCTGAAACATGCTGGCAAGTCTTAACCTCTTAGTGCTCTAGTCAGTGTTCTAATATTATAAATGGCAGCTGCACTGATAGAGGGAGTTTCCTCACCTGGGAGTTCCCTAGATCAGTGAAAGCACAGGTCCAGGACCTGTTCTTAGCATTATGGTAGATGCTTAGCTAGTGTCTATTGTGAAAAGTCCGTCTGGGTTCTGGCTGTCAGATCTTGTTAGTGCTAAGTGAAACATTTATTAAGTACTTACTATGTGCCAAGCACTTTCCTAGATACTGGGAAAACAAAGACAAATGTGAAACAGTACCTGTCCTCAAAGAGTACATTCTAAAAGATGGATACAAAACATATCGAAGAATGGTAGCCAGGAAAGGGTGTTTTAGGATAATTAGCCATAGAAGTTGTCAGTAAAATAGTAGGGCTGTTATGGTTGTTTTTCCTGACTTTTCTAGTAGTGATAATGATAATTATGAGGGCAAGGATGACTGGATTTCTAACTCTAACTTTTTTTTTAAGGTATCGAGATGAAATTTAAGAACAAGATATTCCCTCTAATAGTCTGCCCAACTTGGATCCCTGAGCTAAATTTTGTGGAACGTGGCCCAGAGGGTAAGTAGGGGATCCTTACTGAGTATGGAAAAGTCAAGACATCACACATTTTTAAGTGCTTGTTATGGGCCAAACACTATGCTAAGCACCAGAGATACAAAGCAAAACAGGACTCCTTACCTTAAGTAGCTCCCATTTGAATGAGGGAGACGACACACAGAAGGCTTGTGAAATGTGAATGGAAGCCAATCTCAGAGGGAAGAAAGCAGCAACAGGGGACAGTGGGAAAGTACTTACGAAAAAGGGATGAGTTTATCTGAGTGTTGAAAGAAGCCAGGGCAGTTAGGAGGCAGTCAAAGGTGAGGAGGGAGGCATGGTGAATCGCTACTAAAAATACAGAGAGTGAAGAGGTGGAGTGTTGTGTGTATGAGGAAAAGTGAGTAGACTGATGTCGTTGGACTGTAGAATGTCTGGAGCAAAATAAAAGTGTAAGAAGACTGGATAGGAAAGAAGGGATCACCTTGTAAAGGTCTTTAAATGCTCAACAGAGAATTTTGTATTTGACTCTGAAGGTGATAGAGTTTATTGAGTGGGGGGATGAGGATGGCTGACATGGTCAGAACTGTGCTTTAAGCCAATCACTTTGGCCACTGAACAGAGGATAGATTGGAGTGAGGAGAGATTTGAGGCAAGGAGATTAATTAGGAGGCTATCACAATAGTCTAAGTAAGAAGTGATGAGAGTCTGCACTGGGGTGGTGGCTGTGTGAGTAGAAATATAGAGATAGAAGAATCAATTTCCCAACTTCTAATACTGTCCAAAAATGGAAGGATCTGATTTGAGAGGTAATAAGTCCCCTCTCCCAGGCCTTCAAGCAAAGATGGGTGGCCCCTGTTGGGTATGCATGTTATTGGGGGCTTCCTGTCCATGTATCTGACTAGAGAATCTCTGATTCCATTATTTAAAATAACTAAAAACTGGACAGAATATAGGTACTATTAAGATATATGTTAGATTAATTTTTAAACATAGAAGGTAGAAAGCATATTGGATTGAAAGAAACAAAATATTTTGTGAAGAAGTAGCATTTTAAGTGGACCTTGAAGGATAGGCAAGATTTTACAAAGAAGGGGGAAGGTACTGTAGGGGAAGAAAGAGCAAGAGCAGAGGTATAAAGGCTGGAAAGGGTAGGATTTATGCCTTTAAAAAAATAGTCCAGTTTGGCTACAGGAAAGTAGTAGAAGATAAAGTTGGACGAGTAGGCTCAGGAAAAAATCACGTTGGACCTTGAATGCTAGCATAAGCTGGTTGGGAACTGTCTATTGAATTTTTTGTTTTGAGCAGGGATATGACCAGGATGCTGTGCTTTCTGTCAGTAGTTTGCAAGGAGGAGAGGCTGGAGGTGGACAGACCATTTAGGATACTGTTGACTGACAGCAGAACTAGATTTATAGCAGTAGGAATGGAAAGGAGGGGCATTATACATGGTCGGCACATGACATTCTGAGTGAATGACTGAATAGAATGGGGGACATTGCAGAGGGGAGAATTCACAGGGCTTGACCATTGTCTGTGGCAAATGAATGAAAGTGTATATGTGTGAGTGTTGGGGAGGAATGGGGTGAGGTTGTCAAAGTTGATAGGAAGGATGACAGTAGCTTCCTTCCTAGGCATCTCCTTCGGGGCAGCCTGCCCCCTCAGTGATGTGGAGAAAGCCTTAGTGGCTGCCGTGGCTGAACTCCCGGCCTACCAGACTGAAGTGTTTAAAGGGGTCTTGGAGCAGCTGCGCTGGTTTGCTGGAAAGCAGGTCAAATCTGTGGCGGTGAGTCCCTGTGTCAGAGATTCAATCAGGTGAAGCTGAGAGGGCTGATCAGGTTGGAGAGGTTACTCTAGGAGATGCTAGAATAACTGTGTTTTAGTCTCTGAAGCTGATTTGCTCTGCACCCTCCAACCAAGTGCGTCTTCCTCTCTCTGCGCCTCGGTTTTCTTGAGGCTGAAAAAAAAATACTGGATCTTGGAGTCAGAGGATGCAAGTTCAAATTCCAGTTCTGCCTCTTGCTACCTATGTAATTTTGGCAGTTACTTATCCTCTCTGGGACTCAGTTTCCTCATCTGGAAAATGAGAGAGTTGAATTAGTTGACTCACAAGGTCCTTTCTAGCTCTAAATCTATGATCCTATGGTCTTGAATAATTCTTTCCCACTCCTTCCTTGACATGGATGTAGAAAGGATAAACAAGAAAGCTAAGGATCCCACAAGCAGACCTATAAAGAATCTTAATGGGATGGAACACTGGGATGAATCTAGTAAGATTAAATATAACAGAGATAAATGTGAGTCTTCTACTTAGATTTTAAAAACCAACTTCACAATTATGGGATTGGGAAGGCATGATTCGGTAGCAGTTTGAAAAAGAGCTAGGAGCTACCAGAGTCCAACAGTGGAATTTTGAAGATTAAAAAAAAGCCAACCGCATCTTCGACTCTATCAAGAAAGGCATTGCTTCCAGGAATAAGAAAGTGGCATTTCCCCTAAAATCTGCCCTGGTCAGACTGCATCTGGAATTTTGAGTCCAGTTCTGGGTGCCATGTTTTTGGAAAAGCATTGATAGGCTCGAGAGTGTCCAGAGGAAGGCCACTAACATAGTAAAAGGCCTTGAGTCCATGCTGTATGAAGATGGTTGAAGGAACTGGGGGTATACAGATTGAAGATGAGAAGATTCACGGAGGATAAGATAGTTGTACTCAGAGTTATTGTGTGGAAAAGAGATAAGGCTTGTTTTATTTAGCTATAGAGGACAGAATTAGAAGCCATGGATGGAGGTCACAAAGAGGTAATTTTAGGCTTGATATCGAGAAAAACTTCCTGAAAAATTAGAACTATCCGTAAGTGAAAAGGCCTATTTCAGGGTCCCCTTCCTATCCTCCACTGGAGTTCTTCAGGCAGAATGTTTGTTAGATATATTGTAGGGGGGATTCTTTTGGGGTTGTGAGTTGGACTAGATGACCATTGGTCCAGCTCTCAAATTCAGTCATTCAGAGTAGCCAGCCGTTGGTGAGTCAAGTAAAGCTTATTGCACTATCTACCTTGCCCATTTTCAAAGTTAGGGTGCTACTCAATAGAAGATAGCCCAAGAAATGGGGAAGGTACATCCATTATAGACAGAGGTGAGGTGAGTTATGAGAACCCCCCCTCTCTACCAGCTCTGTTTTCAAAGATCAAGAATTAGTGAGTAAAGTTTTTTGGGAGTGGACTAAGTCTAACCATGTGTTCCATGTCTCTGTTTTCAGTCCATTGGGGGAAACATCATCAATGCCAGCCCAATTTCTGACCTCAACCCCGTATTCATGGCCAGTGGAGCCAAACTAACTCTGGTATCCAAAGGTGAGTTGGTATAGTTGTATCCACAAAGTGGATAGAGGGATGGACCTGAGTCAGAAATACCCAGGTTCAAGTCCTGCGTCTGACAATCATTAGCTGTCTGACATGGGCAATCATGTCACTTCTCTGACCTCAGTTTCTTTATTGATTAGATTATTTACATCTATAGTACCTATCTCCACAGCTAGGTGGTGCAGTAGATAGAGTGCCAGGCCCGGAGTGAGGAAGACATCTTCCTGAGTTCAAATCTGGCCTCAGAAACTTACTAGTTGTGTGACCCTGGGCAAGTCACTTAACCCTATTTGCCTCATTTTCCTGATTTGTAAAATGAACTGGAGAAGGAAATGGCAAACCACTCCAGTAACTTTGCCAAGAAAACTGCAAATGGGGTCACAAAGAATCAGTCACAACTAAAATGACTAAACAGTTAGAAGTATTATCTCACAGAATTGTTCTGTGGCTCAAAGGTATGTCAATAACCATGCAAATCTTAAAGCACAATTCAGATATAAGCTGTCATTACTATTATTATGAGAAAGAAGGCACTTAAAAGAGATATTTTATCAGAAACTCTATTTTTTTCTTTTTTAAAAAATGTATTTAGTATTTTATTTTCCCCCAGTTACATGTAAAAACAATTTTAATATTTATTTTTAAAACTTTTGAGTTCCAAATTCTCTCCCATCCTTCCTCCTCACTCCCCCCTTTGAGAAAGCAAGCAGTTTGATATAGGTTATACATGTGTAGTCATGCAAAACATTTTCATAATAGTCATGTTGTAAAAGAAAATATAGACCAAAAAAGAAAAAAAATCTCAAGAAAAATAAAGTTAAAAAAAATGCTTCAGTTCGTATTCAGACACCATCAGTTCTTTCTCTGGGAATGGATAACATTTTTCATCATAAGCCCTTCAGAGTTGTCTTGGATCATTGTATTGCTGAGAATAGCTAAGTCACTCACAGCTGATCATTTTAACAATATTACTGTTACTTTATATATAGTACATTTCAATTTGCATCAGCTCATGTAAGTCTTCCAGGTTTTTCTGAGAGAATCCTGCTCATCATTTCTTATAGCACAATAGTATTCCGTCATAATCACATACCATAATTTGTTCAGCCATTCCCCAATTGATAAGGATCGAAAGATATGAACAATTTTCAGATGAAGCAATCAAAGCTATCTATAGCCATATAAAAGAATGTTCTAACTCACTATTGATTGGATAGATGCAAATTAAAACAATTCTGAGGTACTACCTCATACCTATTAGCTTGGCTAATAGGACAGAGAATGAAAATGACAAATGGTGGAGGGGAATATGGGAAAAAAGAGACATTAATGCAGTGTTGGTGGAATTATGAACTAATTCAACCATTCTGTAGAGCAATTTATAACTATGCCCAAAAGGCTATAAAATCATGCATACCCTTTGACCTAGCAACATCACTACTAGGTCTATATCCCAAAAGAGATAAAAAATGAAAAAGGAAAAGGATCAATATTTACAACAATATTTATAACAGCTCTTTTCTGGGGGCAAAGAATTGGAAATTGAGGGGATGCCCAGAAAGTGTATTTTCTAGGAAAATAGAACAGGGCATCGATTGGGAATGGGGGGAGGGGAGAAGCTCAGAAGCCCTGATATCTGGCCTGGCTAATGTTTGAGTTGAAAGGAATTACTGTGGTAAGGTAAATACCGTGGAATGATGGTCAGGGGAGCTGTACTCTTCTCATTCTGAAAAAGGCATAATAAATAAATAAAATAAAAAATAAATTGAATGAATGAATGAATTTTTTTAAAAGGTGGCATTGTACAGTAGAAAGAATGCTAGATCTAAAATCACAGGACCTTGGGTTCAAATCCCAGTTCTACCACTTATCAGCTGTATGACTTGGGATGAATCATACTGTGGTCCTCATCTGTAAAATGGGGTTGGACTACATGGTCTCTAAGGCCTCTTCTGCCCCTAAGTCCACAATCCTATCTATGATTTTTTTTCACCAAATTAATAAGATATTTTGAGATAGAGGATACAGAACCAAATTCTTTCTGAGCTTTACTCTCTTCTCCATGCCAACTCTTTCCTTTGGATTCAAGGTCTCATGGTAATTATGAACTGATGAAGAAGGGATCCAGTGCCCAGGTGTTTCTGTGCTGGGCTGGTGATGGGCTCTGACATGGCCCTCTGAGCTTACTCCTCCTGAGTCTCTTCCTTCTTCTCTCCATACAGGGACCAAGAGGACTGTTCGGATGGACTACATGTTTTTTCCTGGCTACAGAAAGACACTCCTAAGTCCTGAGGAGATATTGCTTTCCATTGAGATTCCCTACAGTAGGAAGGTGAGATGTTATCTGGAGCTGACCTTGGAGTCTGGTCTAGGTCTGACTCCCATACTTAGAGATATCTGATTCAGGAAAAGAGCTCTGACGCTGGAATCGGACGACCTGGGCTCAAACGCTAACTATGTGGCTAGCTCGGTGATCTCATGCAAGGGACATCAGTTTCTTCAACAAGGGGGTTGGACCAGAGACAGTCTCTGGGGTTCTTTCCCAGCTCTAAATCTAAGATCCTATGATCTCCAAAGAAGCAGGATGCACAACTTACTTCATAATCCTTCTTTATTCTTTCCTTCTCTCCTTCCTTTCTTCTTTCTTTCTTTCTTTCCTTCCTTCCTTCCTTC